AAAAAAAAAAAAAAAAAAAAAATTCTATTACAATAATTATCTATCTAATAATAGTAGTCTATCTAATTATTGGAAATATATGTCCGTGAAAAAAAAAACAAATAAATAAAAATAAAATATTGAAATTTCTTTTATACGCTAAGACATCGCCAGACGTGTAGTACACATAGAACAATAAGATGCAGGGCTGTTAAAAATTGGTGTTGTCATAAACTACTATTGATGACTAAGGTTTTAGAAGTGCATTATGCTCAAATACTATGCAACGTGTTAACAAGAGGGTAGGGGAATGATAGGTATACTAATGCATCAAGGTTAGAAAAAACATTGATGGGTGTTGTTTCTTTCTTTTTTCTTTTTCTCTTTTTTTCTCTTTTGTTGGGGAGGAAAAGTTAATGTTTAAAAGGCACTCGTAGAAAATAATTTAACAATCACAATTGTTTTGATTGCGCGGGGTCTCTTTCTCATCACTCGAAGCCACTGAAACCCGTAATATGATTGTAGAGCGACTTCAGGGTACGGTGTGATGCGGGCATGGTGGGCCTTGGTGGCAAATCTGTATTGGTTGTACTAACACCATGCACAACAGTCAAACTGGTTAAAATCTCACTTAAACGCACTTCAATTAATAACTTATCTTCGAGGCTTCCCGGGCAACGGGGAAGAACTTCGGTTTTTGTTTAAATGCAATTGCAAGTCCGAGAACTCAGTTGCAATATGTTTTCCATAGGAAAAACACTGTCTGTTAGGCTAAATGTTTGTTTTCACGGACGTTCTATATGGGACAAATACTTAATAGTCCAAAGAACACAGCCCACATTAGAACGATCCAAAGCACTGAGTCAATGGGATTCTCACCATCTGTGACCTTTCTGGCAATGAATTTAAGGGTTTCGTCGAGAAGTACCACTGGAATGGAGAACTTCATAACGGTAATCCACTCCTCGCCCGTTAGAGGGGTAACTTGGAATACAGACTGAAACAAATAACATTCAGCGTTATTATTATTACATTACTTTCATAGAACGATAACGAACAGCAGTTCTTTTTGTTGCATCTTTATATACCGAGAGAACTTCGATGTAAAGGATGACAAAGTGAAGTGTGAAAGAAAGAGCCATAGAGGCAATAAGCCACATATTAGACCAGGGCGGCATAGTGATGAGAGATTGATTCTCAGATAAACTGAAAGGAAACAAAAGGAAAACAATGTAGAAATTAATATAACTTTAAACGTTTGCAATCATGTGGCATTACCTGTTCATGGCATTCAACATTTCAATAGTTACGAGAACCGACAGAGCCATCGTCATTGGATGAGGATCTGTGAAGATCTTGCAGTTAACGCCCTTGAATTCCTCACCACCACCCATGCACGCCAAATGATGTGTCTATAAATCACAATTATCGTTACGATAACCGTATCAAGAGCACCGACTGTTTCACTAATTACCAGTTGGTAATAGTTCATCTGTGGTCCATGGGGACTATACAGGAACCACCACGCAGCTGATCCAACAGTCGCAGCACCTACGTATCCGCCGATAGCCAGATAGCGGAAGAACAACCAGCCAGAGATTAGAGATTCATCAGCTTTACGAGGAGGCTACAACATATTGTATAACATCATATTGTTACAATTTCTGTTTAAATTTTCGATTTATTGATTTGACAAGCTTTTACCTTGCTCATGATGTCCAAGTCGGGTGGATTGAAACCAAGAGCAGTAGCTGGAAGACCGTCAGTAACCAAGTTGACCCACAGAAGCTGTACAGGGATCAGAGCTTCAGGAAGACCAAGGGCGGCAGTCAAGAATATACTGTAATTGTAAAACTCGTACATTGTTTACCGTTCCATTTACTGTCGGTGTTTTGCTATGCTGTTTCTTTGTACAAACCTCACGACTTCACCAATATTGGAAGAAATCAGATAACGAATGAATTGTTTCATGTTATTGTAGATAGCACGACCTTCCTCAACAGCGGCGACAATGGAAGAGAAGTTGTCGTCAGCCAGTACCATCTCGGACGCAGATTTTGCGACAGCGGTTCCAGACCCCATAGCAATGCCGATCTCAGCCTTTTTCAAGGCAGGTGCATCATTTACACCATCGCCAGTCTACAGATAGAAGAAGACAAAAATCAGAATTCACATTTCTTGCGATGTGCACCTGGCAATCAATGGAAAAAAAAAAAAAAAAAAAAAAAAAGAAAACCTACCATGGCCGAAATTTCATTCATACTCTGCAAGTACTCAACAATCTTGGACTTGTGAGCGGGTTCCACGCGAGAGAACAGACGAGCTCTAGCACAGGCAGCTTTCTGTTCCGAAGAAGGAAGATCGTCGAACTCGCGTCCCGAATATGACTTCCCGGTCGTGTCTTCGTCTTCGCCGAACACACCGATTCGTCTGCAGATGGCTTCAGCGGTAGCCTTATTGTCTCCGGTAATGACAATGACACGGATACCAGCTGCACGACACCTGACAATGGAGTCGAATACTTCCTTGCGAGGTGGATCAAGCATGCCAACAACACCAATGAAGGTGAGGTCCTTCTCATACGTGTAGAACTTCGTGGAATCGCCAAGATCCATTTCGTCAGGCTTCATTGGATGGTCAGCAGTGGCAAGAGCAAGACAACGCAAAGTGTCTCGGCCAGTACCGTATTGGCGAGTCAAGTCCAAGATACGGTTCTTCAAAGTAGATGTAAGAGGGACCTTGTTAGAACCTACACGAGCATGCGTGCATCTGTCCAGAACACCTTCTGGAGCGCCTTTGACAAACAGCTTCGGCCCGGTACCCAATTTAGTTGGTTTCAAAGGCGAACAGTAAGAAGACATAGATTTACGGTCTCGAGAGAACTCCAATGTGAATTCTTTCTTCCACTTCGTCTCGATGTCTTGTCTGACAACGATGGCCGTGTTACGCCTGTCCAATCCGCTCTTAGAGACACCGTACGGATTAATCTTTTCTGCAAGAACGATGAGAGCAGTCTCCGTTGCCTCGCCCACCTTCTCAAATGCTTGCTTGAACTCGTTGAAATCAATGGCGGAATCGTTGCACATGATACAGATGGTACCGATCTCATGAAGAGTTTCATAATCTTGGCCACGGATCTTCTTGCCCCTCAGAAACACCTCACCCACTGGTTCGTACGTCGAGCCGGTGATCTCAAATTCGTGGAAGCTGCTGTCGTTGCCCTCGATTTTGTCGAAGATAAACATTCTATAATAATTTGTAAGTATTTAAATGTTAACGTTGATTCGATCAATTTCTATCATCACTCTGAACTCTCGAGTATATCGGTTTACAAATTTCTGAAACTATCTAAACATTTTGCCAATAATCGGCTAACGTAACTTACCGGCTAACAGACATCTGATTCGTAGTCAAGGTGCCAGTCTTGTCCGAGCAAATGACGGAAGTACAACCCAGAGTTTCAACAGATGGCAAGGATCGCACGATGGCGTTCTTCTTTGCCATACGGCGGGTACCCAAAGCCAAGCAAGTGGTAATTACAGCTGGCAAACCTTCGGGGATGGCGGCCACAGCGAGAGCAACGGCAATCTTGAAGTAGTAGATGGCTCCCTTGATCCACGATCCACCGTGAGCAGGATCGTTGAAGTGTCCAATGTTGATAGCCCAGACGGCGACGCAGATCACAGAGATCACCTTCGACAATTGCTCGCCAAACTCGTCCAATTTCTGTTGCAGCGGCGTTTTGATCTCCTCGGTCTCGGACATCTCGGTACGGATTTTACCAATGGCGGTGTTTAATCCAGTCCCAATAACGACACCGCGAGCTTTACCCGCAGCTACGTTAGTACCGGAGAACAAGATGTTCTTTTTGTCCTGTGATGTGACGAAACAAGATTATTATTATTATTATTATCAGGAATAAGAACATCCTGCCAATTTTCTGTAATTGGGTCCACTCAACATGAGAGTAGCAGGGGGTGGTAGTTTCTCAGAGCTTGAACTGATGAACTTCATATTTTATTAATTTCTTAACTTTGTTCAATCTGATATACATAATGTTCAATCATTCATTTCAACGAGTTGATTTATTACAAAAAGAAAGGATAACACAAGATGACAGCAGATCTTAAATTTTTGTCTACCTGATTGAATCAGCATAATGGGCCACACTGAGTTTCAAATTAGAGAACTAAATTAAGTATCCCCTTCTGATGATTTTTTTTTTTTTCTTGCAACAAAAAATCAGTATACCACCGACGGAGGGATAAATGCGTAATTAAATATACTAGAGTACGAACCTGATTGACGGCACGTGGGTCAGGCACAGGATCCGTATGCTTGATTACCGAGACAGATTCACCAGTCAGGATAGACTGATCGATCCTGAGGGTGGTCGAGAAGATCTTGGTCAAACGGATATCGGCCGGGATCTTATCACCGACGGACACCTCAACTATGTCGCCGGGCACGATCTCCTTGGCACGAATCCTCTGGACACCGGATTTGTCCGTTCGCAAAACCTTGCCCATCTCGGGCTCGTACTCTTTCAACGCTTCGATCGCAGACTCGGCATTACGTTCTTGCCAAACGCCGACCACGGCGTTCGCGATAAGAATGAGCAAAATGACGAAGGGCTCGACGAAGGCCGTGAACGCGTCCTCGTGCTCTTCAAATAAAGCTAATACCTGGAGGACAAGAAATCATCGATTCGCACAATTAGTAAATGTGAATTCGTTACTCTCGCGCCACGGTCAGGTAAATTCTTTTGTTGTTGCATATAAATTATGGGCTGAAGAATTTTTTCAAGCCTTCGCTCGAATAAATAACGAAACAGGGAGAGACGTAGTGGCTGTTTGTGAAACAACAATAAAGGTTCTTTATTTTTTAAATTAATTTTTAAATTAATAAGACCCTTCGAGCGTTTGTTTCATTTCAAAAAAAAAAGATGACAAATCGCTTCGAGAAGAAGACTAAATTTTTACCCAACAATCGCTGAAATCTATTGCAGTAGATTGATGGTGATTGTGCGAGCAAGTAACTATAATAAATGTTGTTTCTGATTTTTTTTTTTGAAGTTTAAATTTGAGAAACAAAACTTTCCAACTCAATCTCGTATTATTTAGATATCGAAGATTACGAAATAAATTTTTCTCGCGAAAATTATTCAACGATTTATTTTTCGTTCTGCCTACAATTGCAGTTTCGATAAATAATTTATAGTTTTCGTGATAAATATATTATCATATTGCGCATGATGTGCATTTATCTACAACGATCATTCATAGATAGAATTGTTCATATGATCAATAAAAAATTGTCGATTTGAAAAAAAAAAAAAAAAAAAAATACAATCCAGTTAGCCTCATTTTGAAACTTCTATTTTGACAATTATTCTAAATTCGTCTGCTTCAAAAATGTTTTTACATCGTATAACAGGCGGGAAAGTATTCTAAAAATTCAAACATCTCCGAAATCGCTGAAAAAAATTTTTTTTTTTATGACTAGATCCACCCTAAAAATTTTAGTAAAATTTAAAATTTTCTTCTAACAACTTCTTAAAACTTTGTCATTCTTATTCACTATTTTATTAAACTTTGAATGTTGGAGTTAGACGTCGAAATGTTAAGATTTCTTGCAGTTTTGTCGTTTAATTGTTTATCGAGTTGGCTAAAAAGTAATCGTCTTTTTTTTTTTTTTTTTAATAGACAGACATGCATTAATCTCATTTTATATCGCAAATTTAAGTTTCTTTTAGACAACGAAAATGCACGATTTCGCTATTTGTTTAGCATTGACAAAGTGGAAAATCAAAAGGAACAAAGGAAACAAACTCTGTGTGCAAATTCATAAAAAATTATCCGATATATCT